GAACACCTTGTTCTTGATCTTCTGGTCTGGTGGAAGGCTGCTACTACTATCACTACTCTCATTATCAGTGCCAAACTTATTTTTAAATAGTACATAAGCGTCTTTGGGCTTGGTACATGAATTTGCCACAACACCGGTGATCATATTCATAGCAGCTGCACAGGTTGCTAGTTGAACATCTTTCAACCTTGCACCTACAGGTGATCAGAGGAATAACAGTGATTAATGATGAAGAGTATGCCGAGGTGAAGCACAGCAAAGTTCCATTAAAAGTCAGCAGTTTTGGAACTATTCCCTGGAGATCTATTGACTTTTTGTCTGAAAAACAGACACAATGACAGGCAAAAAAGAAGAAGGTTCATGTAGCAAACCCAGTGATTACACAACAACAAGTACTGTCATTAAGTATGGAGTTTCTGTTGATGATAGGGCAAGACATAACTCAGTCAATTTTTGTCCAATTTAGAAACTGTATATTGTAGTCATCATATCTTAACATGTGCTACATCTTATACAAGTTTCATCAAAATCAGATAAATCCTGGATTTTTTATCTCCAATCCCTGCCATTGAGGCACCTTTGGTTAAGGGAGTGATCCTGTGTTAAATATATCAAACATAAAAAAAAATCATAATTTTTAATAAAATATATAATATACTGAAAAATGGTTAAACTTCATCAAACATGCTTATTTTTAAAAACCAACATCACTCCTATATAATTTGGTTAGCTGTTCACTAGTTTCACTAGTCTGATTACAAAAATAAATAAAATCAAGCACTAATGAAGAACAAGATTAATATTTTAATGGGTTAAACCATTTTTCTGTGAAATACAATTCAAATATTACTAATCAGGTATTATCTTATTTGCCCCCCCAGTGGCACAGCGGTATGTCTGTGGACTTACAAGGCTAGAAACCGGGTTTCGATACCCGTGGTGGGCGGAGCACAGATAGCCCATTGTGTAGCTTTGTGCTTAATTCCAAACAAACATTATCTTATTCCTGATATTTAGGTGTCTTTGGGCATTTCTTTTTAACAATGTTAGATCAATGGATGTTGATCTACACTGGGACAGTGTATGACATTCCTAAGATAAGGACCTCTTTAACCTTTGTATTAATATTCAAAAGAAAGTAGAACATTCTTACAATAATTGAAGTTTTACATCAGTTATGCATGTTTAGACATTACCTACAAAAACTCTATTTTTAAAAGAAAAGCTTATAAAGTCCAAACTAATTTCTAGTTTTGTTGTCCAAATGTTTACACGTGTTTCAATTTCTTTTACTGGTTTCTAAAATGTTGTGGGTAGCCCCATATTACTAGAGTCTACTATCAGGAATGTGACAGAAAGAGTTGAAACATATGTAAACATTTTTACAACAAAACTGACAACTGATCTTACCTTTTTCTGATACCATCTGGTTAACAACTGATTTTAGTGATGTTGGAAAAATATGACCAAAATTTCAAGGAAGTGGTGAATAAGCTTAATAGCTTACACAAGAACTGTCATGGGTTAATGAAACAGTTTACAAAGGAGTTGTCAAGGGTTAATGAAGGATTAGTATTATCATGAAAAATGTACAGATAGTTACCGTTAAAGCTTGCAGCTATATTACAGAAAGTATATATTGCCAAAACTAGAAATTCATGAATTTCCAAACTGAAACTGTAGGTGACTAGGTTTCCACAATATAAAATGATATAGAAAGTCAGCTAAATACTCCAACAGAGTATGAGGATCAGCCAGAGAGTTTAACTATCTAAATCTCTGTTAGCTAATAACAATAAATTTCAAACAAGAACTATTCCACTCAGTTAAAAATGAAGCTTTCAGGAATAGCAAAACACTGACAACTCCAGTTTTCATTGAATGGTAAGCACCACTTGAGCATATTATAAAACATCCTTGATGTCTACAAGACCAATGGAAAGAGAAGATTTACAAAGCCAAGTTCAATATTATTTCTATAGTACATAAGTGGGATAATGAACAGCAGGTTGCCCATGTGGCCACCAACTTGAATCAACTAGGGATAAACATTCACCAACCATAAAAGCCAGAATGATGACCAGTCAATTTAAAATGACTTATCAAACAAAATATCATAAACTCAGTACACAAATGAATAAGAAGAAAAAAGAAGCCCTCACAGAATTTATTAAGGACATTGAAGGGCTCTCTGTTTTCTGACCCTTAAACAACTTCAGAGATTATGGCATATGACCAGTTCATTGATACAGTTCAAGATAAAAGATATACATATCATACCAAACAAAGTAGAGGCATTTCTTTAAGAGAAATTATTCAAGTTGCTATAGAACTGGAATTAACCAAGGTTGCTTACCAATATCAGAGAATATCTGTTAAAAATAACATAACCAAAGTAATATACTATTACAACTAATGACCCTAAAGTAAGCATAAGTGACTTACAAGGATAGGTTTTGCAGAAATAGAGTAGTTTCCCAGGGAAAGTCACTTAAACAACAAATAAAAAAATGTAATGGACAATAAAAGCCACTTGATTATAAACTGCAACAAAAAGCAGTACATCAGATGATAGAGGGCAACAACTACCTGAAAATTAATCAAGAGAAACTGATAACTGTTGTGGTCTGCAATGATATTACTTTCATGACTTCAAGGAAATGAAAAGGTAAATTATGCCCCACAGTAGAGGTTTAGGAGACTGCCTTTTAAACCAATCTAGGACTCAAGAATAAAAGTGAATAGACATTTTTGGTTCCATTAGTCATAAATCAGGAAACAAGAGTTAAGCTTGGCAAAGTTCGACTAGATGAGGGGCAAATTTCAACTGGGAAATGCAACTGCCACATTTTTCAATAAGAATTTCACTATTAGAGATTTGCCAAAGAGTTAGTGGAAGCCATGGTTATTGAAGTTTGAGTTACACTAAAGTTTGGCGGGAAATAACTTTTGCTTTTGATTATTCAAAGCTGGCTGAAGCTCCATACAGCCCACAGACTAAAATGTAACATTTACTATAGTATGTAGCAGCATCCTGTACAGGATAATAGAATATGTAGGAAGTCATAAAGTGCAGTTATAGTTAGTAATACCAAGATTTTTCCAAGATTATGTCATCCCTATAATTTTCCAGCAGCTGGATACCAGCCTTAGGAATACGTCTGAGAGTATGTGAAATTACACTAAAAAAGAAAAAGTTCACGCATCACATTATCACAGATAATTGAAAAGAAGATTCTCTTAAAAATGTGTTTCTTTTACAGTAAAAATAGGCTATTTAAGTTGCTCAAAATTTAGGGAAGGGTAGTGTTCTGCAGCAAAATGGTATAATAATTCTGTAATTTGTCCCTTGCTACAAGTTTTATGTTCAACAAGCTGAGGTACCCATCCTCTGTCCGGGTTATGAACTTTAAAAAATGTGGAGGTGGATACTATGAAAAGTAACAGAAAAATCCTAACTTTCACACAATTTATTTATAACATATTATTAAATTGTTTATTATTACCTCCCCAAAAGTTTTGTATAAGCTTTAATAACTCAAAATGTATATACTTAAAACATGGTATACAATGTGCAATGGTCAGGGTGACTTTGTAGGAACAAGTAGCAACCAAAGTAATGGCCTTTGGGGTGCTTTCTGTTACCTGCTTTCAGCATTCAGCTCTTAATGTCCTTCCACAGCATTTTTTGTGATTAATTAATTGACACTTATTGGCCACATAAGTGTCTTAAGGGCCGAAGTTGAAAGATCACGGGTCAAAGTAGGAAGTGGGTATAACTCAAGAAATGGCTCTTCATATCAGCCTTATGATGGCTGTTGGAGTAAAAACTTCATACGAGTTTATGTAGTATTGCAATAGCGGTGGCCATTTTTTTCACTAAATTCCTCCAAAGGGAGTGCTAGTGCACTCTTAAAGATATATAAGACATTTGTGTGCCCTTCCCCATACTGTGTGCATGTTGTTTTATAGAAAATTTAATAAAGTTCTTTTGTTTTTGGTGTAAGGACATAACACCATCTGCAAATGTGGTTAATGCTAGCTTACATCAAAGATAATAAATGCTCAATAACAGCAATATTGAGGGGTGGAGAGGGTTGTGAACCCCCATTAACATGTCCCTTGTTCCAAACTATCATCCCACAAACTCTGGTTGAGATTGGCCCAGCAACCTACGAGTAGTTAAATAATGGACAAACAGAAAGACACAGTATGGCTGATAGGTATACCATTGTAGTTATTTAAGGTCACAAGTATTTGATTAAGTTATAATTGTTCATGGAAGCAAAGATAATACTAGCTTTACCAAAAATGTTAGTTTTTTGAAATAAATAGCAAGTATATAACTGTGTGTGTGTATTAAAAATATTCTTAAATGTTGATAGAATTATTAAGCATAATCTATAAGTCAAGAATAAAAGAAGATGAGTCACTAAGTCAAAACTTTAAGAGAACATTTTTATCTATATTAAATTATATACATGAGTGAGACTTAAAAGAGGTGTAGTTGGAATCACGGTTACTTCAAGATGTTATGTGACTGGTTCTATTGGTTTATGGAACCTACATGAAGCAAGTTGTTAAAATTTAAGTATTTCTACATCTGAAATAAAGCATTAAGTTCTAGTTTTCTAATAAGTCTCTGAGTCAACCTCAAAATAGTCCAGTACTTTAGCTATCACAAATTTAAACACAATTGGAATTTATCATAATAGTGCATTTAACATTAATGAAGTTTTGTATAAACCAGTTTTGTACAGCATGTATATTACTACACTAATATTTATTTGCACTTGTAGTAAACTTCTTATAAGTCAAACCTAAATTATGTTTCACAGTTTACCTTCAAGAAGAAGCTACATGAATGCAAGTAATTTGGAAGAACTGAACTTATCTGCAGAACATAGAAATGGCAAATGCTGTGAATATCTAACAAATTTTTTTCCTAACAAATACCAAAAACAATCTTATTATTATTTATTCACAAAGAGTTAATCAACCTTGTTTGCCAGTTCCAACAAGTCACTACTGTTCCCAGGTACCGAACCACTTGATTCTACAATCAGCTTCTGAAGAGTGTTTGGCTCAGGACTCAAGTCACGAGCTCCAGAATCAAATTCCCAACTGTCATGTTTACCAGAGGCTGCTCCTTATGAAAAAAATTAAATAACCAATCATTAGCAAGTTATTTTTGACAGCACTTATACACTAAAAATGTTGAAAAATAAATTATGTTTGAAGAGAAATGCTAAGTATGCATCAACAATAACATAATCAAAAATTAAATGAACCACTGAATGAAACATTAAAGATAATTACCCTGACTGGTATCACTGCTTGTAGGCCAGTTGCCTGTACTACTACTACCAGGGGCTGGAGAGACTTGTTGGGAACTTGGTCGACATAGATCCACATCACCAACATGAGCAACATGTTCATGCTCTTGCTCCTGTAAGGTCAAGGCATTTATCTCATTCATTAATTGCATTCGTCTACGAAGAAATTCACTATAAGAGATTCTACCGTGTTCATCAGCTCCTAGCTGTTCCATAATCTCTTCCACACAGTGCTCCAGGTTCAACTGTTGACATACAGCTAGAAGATCTTGGCTAGTAAAAAAAGTAAATAAATACAAACTGTCAAAAAAACACTGAGACACAATAGTTTCCCTACAAACTACTAAAAAAATGTACACAAAAATGAAATGCACAAAGTTAAAGTATACACTGTAAATAAGACATACCAAATGATCATTAAGCAAGATTTCTCTACCTTTCTTCATGTAATAACTTGTGTCATCATGCATTCACAGTTCACATATGTATTAACACATACATGCACAGTCTGGGTTATCTAACCCCATTGTCTTTGGCAATAGTTTGTTGCATATTCATCACATTACAATAATGAATATTAATCGGTCTCTGACACTTAAAAGAACATAATAGAGCTGGAGAGTTTAGGTAGTCATAATCCTACTTGTCTAATTAAAATTTCTCTGGTGTCAATGACTCCCTTACCTTTTCCTTTCTTTCTTTTATCTGTAAATTATATTTACATGCATTTTTAGTAACATGTAAATGTGTTTGAGACATCTGTTTTTAAGTCTATTCACATATAGAAGTTATATCTGTACAAATCTGAATGGTCAATGATTTCACTCAACCTTTTATAGTTATCCACAACACACTTATTTTAAGGTAATAAGAATAATTAAAGCTTTAAACTTCACTATAATAGTTGTAATTATTTGGTGTTTCAATAAAGAATCTGACTATAATTTAGACTTACATTGTAACAGTAACAAGTCATCACCCCCAGCATGTATATAGCTTGTTAATATTATGCAACTAAAATTACTGTGACGAATAAAGACATTAAATATTAGGTAAAGTAACTCACAGATTAATGCAAGGGTTTTACGCCACGTACTCTAGTCAGATCTCGTACTCTAGTCAGATCTCGTACTCTAGTCAGATCTCGGAGTTAGTGGTATAACCCATCTGCACATAATTTGAATGTTGAGTACTGGTTAGTGTAATACATCAATAACTCACCAAAACTGCCTACCTGTTCTGAAGTGTGGAATTCATCTTATTTTTAATGTTGTTCAAAAGTTCTTGTATACCTCCCAGAAAGGTGTACCATAGCTTGAAAACCACTAGATTACTGTGATATGTAAAGCTGAACATGTAAGTGCTGGAAAGATTGTAATTATGACTTGGCAATCGTACAAGCATTACTCTTCATCACTCTCCATTATTCAGAAGTCTCATTGTCACTAACCTTTATTAATTGTTTTCTAAGTGATTAATAAAGGAGTATTCATGTTAATGGTGTCTATCTATCTTGTGACAGTTAACAAAAAAAAATAAAGTTTTGTTATACTAATTATTGACTTTTGTCCAACAGGGAGATTTGCTATGGTAAGTTCAGTACCATTTGATAACTCTGCTGTAGGTGAGAACAGCAAAATGAATGCTCTCTATCTATACATACCAGGAAAATTAACATTCAGAACTAAATTTTTCTCGGTATCTGTTAAACTGAACAATCCACACTTTCAGAATAATGTTATTTTGAAATTCTGTCTTTTAACAAAGTATAGCATGTAATGTTTATAGTTATATTTTTAGCCTAAGTGTATCTTACGTGATACAAATTGAAATATTTCTCCTTTGCTGGGTGCACTCATATGTTTTATTGCCTTCATTTTTAATGTATTCAAACAACAAACATATACCAATGGATATTGCAAAATCTGATTTACTGTAAGTTTCCAGAGACTTACCTTATATTTTTACAAATAGGTATAAGTTCAGATTAAGAAATATATACACACACACACACACACACACACACATACATACATACATACAGACAGACAGACAGAAATACAGTATAAAGTTGTTTTTAATCGATTACCTCATGCCAATGTTCAGCACAGATTACATAGGCCTGCGATGATTTTATTATGTTCAAATTTTTTCATGTTCCACAGTAATTCCTGTACGCTAAATCCGAAAATCATATCCATTTTCTCCATCACGTACAGATCTTTCAAAAATGTCATACGTACTTTTACATAAGTGAATATTTTCATTGAAATCGGGTCACATTTTGTTATGTTGAAAATGTTGACGACCACTGGCTACATATTTCTCTAGCCCAATAGCGACGTAAGTCTTATCGATCGATCGTTCTAGAAGTTACAATCCAAACATAACAATAAAAAAATGTTTATTGTTGTGAACGAAATAATAATTTTTTTTTTCTTCCCCATTTGTAAAAAAAATCCTTATGTGATAAAAAAAAAATGAATATTATTTTTGAAATCTGAATTATGGAAAATCCGTTATTAAAACCAAAACAACTTTTATGAAGTTTAAATTTGCAGGCCTGTGTTATATTTTCATTGAAGATAACACCAGCGTTTGAAATTAGCCCTCTACTACCAAATTACGACACTGTACCTTCCCCATTTAATTTTCATCCTTGGGGGACCAAAACATTTGACTAAATTGATGCAACAATTTAATGTACAGCTAATAACGTTATTGTTGCATATAATCAGATTTACAACAATTATTTATTCAAAGAAAAGTTAAGATTTACTTTAAAATTCTACATTGTTACTGTAAACACGGGAAAAGGGCGGGGGAATAAAGTTGTTTAAAAACCACAGGTATTCACAAACTAAATATACTTCGAATTATAATAATGTGATGTTATTACAATATAAGTTTATAAAACTACTTTAATTATTTTTGTCTAACAACATGAATACGGTAAATTTTTACTTTTGTATTCTTAAATTGTATCTAATTAAATACATGAACTGGATTGTATGGTCTGTTGACTTCAAACTTTTAATATGCCATCAACAGATGCCTTTAGGCAGCGACCGTCACAAGCTAAATAAAATATACAGAATGTTAAACGCACATGCCAAAACACAATAAACCACTTCTTCCTCCACTTCGACTGTAGACGCTAATCAATCGATATTTTTGTGTTAATTGCGTTGTCCACACACGGCTTCCCTTGCGTAATACTAGTGACGGCATCTTTCAAATGACGTGTTCTCGCTATTGATTCTAGTCACTTTTCATCAGTGCTTGACAGTCTCGTGCAGAATATCCATTGCAACAATGCATGGAATATAAATCAAAGAGCTAACCATACGTAATTAGCGGAGCCCTGTATATTACACAGCAAGTAACGGTGGTTTTTGTTACTTTCTCCATGATATTATTCAGAACAGCATAAATCAGTCGGTGTTCAACTTCCATATAATAAACTATTAATAATAAACATATACACCCAGTTTAAATACCTATCACACTATCTTTGCATAGATCAAATTCCCGTATCCTATATATTCAAACCACTGAATTACACTAAGTTTAAGCCGCAGAACATTGGCATCCGCAGAAATATTTCTAGGCCCGGGGGGGGGGGGGGGGGTAATTCTCATTTTCTATGGAAATTCGTCCCCCTCCCCCCCCGACCGTCCGGACGCCGACAGT